AAGAAGTTCGTGGAGACAGTAGAATTAAAGGACAGCTCATTTTGGTGACCCGCCTCCCCCCCAATAAAAATTAAAAATCCATGCATAGGGGGGCCAGCAGGTGGCTTAGTGAAGGTGCTGAACTCCCACATGGCCAATCACAATTTGAGTTCCACACCTGGAGGCCTGACAATCACACTGAGGGGGTGAGGCGGGCATGTGATATGGTCATTAAGGGCACTGGACTCCCATGTGGCCTATTGCAGTTCGAGTCCCAGATATGGCAGCTTGCTTTCTCACCTTACCTCTCTCTGTCCCTCTCTAGTCAAATTAATATAAGTTAAATAAAATGATTCTTTGGGGAAAAACAGATAACACTGGGCACATTTGTGGGCATGACCCAAATTCCAGGGGAATGAAGGGATCATTGTGTGTCCATCCCCTCTGGGGAGTAATTTCTCACTTTTCCTCTGTCTCTATCTCTGGTGAGCATGTGCACCCTATAACAAAAATCCTTTTTTAAAAAATATACATATATTGTTTTTCCATAATTTGCATTTCCCATGAACTTTCTTCTTAAATTTGCTAGAGATTAAGTGCACTCACCAGGTAGAGCATGAAAGTGAGAAAGCACCCACCATGAAGAATGGTCATGTTGCAATTCTTTCTCCTCTCTCATCCCCCTTTCAGGATTTTGGGTATGTACATACATGTGCCTAGCTCAAATCTCAAGCCAACAGGTCCAGGACTAGAACCATGGGGTTGACCATGTGAGATCCAGCTGCCTTCACCACCACGCCGCCACTGGCCCTCCATGCACTTTTGGATTACTTCTAACAGACAACTAGTGTGAGATGTTAATTCTTGGTTAAAAAAATGCATATTAATGGACCAGCAGGTGGCATGGTGGTTAAAACACTGGACACTCCATGGTTGACCACAGTTCTAGTCCTAGACCTGGTGGCTTGCTTTCTCACTTTCCTAATCTCTCTCTCTCTGGTCAAATTAGAATAAATGAATGAATAAAATTAAATAAATAATTTTTAAAAAATGCATATTAAAAAGCAAAATGTCAGGACCAACAGATGGCTTAAGGGTTACATTGCTGGACGCCCACATAATCAACTGTCATTCAAGTCCCGGATCCAGTGGCTTAAAACGTTAGGTGTGTGTACATGCATCCCCAAAACCCTAAGGGGAGGAAGAAGATTGTAGCATGGACACCCCCCCAGAGGGTGATTTTTCACTTTCTCTCTGTCTCTACAGCAAGTGTACACACCCTATAGGCAGAATCTCTCAACAAACAAACAAAAACACAATTTTGGGGTCAGCAGGTGGCGTCGTGGTTAAGGGCCCTGGACTCCCATTTGTCTGACCATGGTTTGAATCCCAGGCCTGGAGGCTTGCTTTCTTACTTTCTCTCTCTCTGGAAATATTAAAATAATAATCATAGTTAAATAAAATAATGCTTAAAAAATAAAAACACGATTTCAATTTTATTCCTAACAAATTGACAAAGGCATTGTAAAACCCAGTGTTTCAGTGATAGGAGAAAACAGATTTTTAAAAAGAATTATTTCCATTTGTTATTATTTTTAAATTTGACCCAACAGAGTGAGAAAGGGAAAGCAAGAAAAGCAAGTTGCCAGGTCTGGGACTCAAACCGCAGTCGGCCATGTGAGAATCCAGTGCCTTTATCCACCACACCACCTGCCAGCCTCCAGGGAAAACAGAGTCTCTCATAGACTATAGAGTGGGAATGTAAATTGGTATTGATTTGGGGAGCAATTTGCACCAGAATTTATTGGGTCATCAGTAAAGTCATAATGCACTTTTGCATAGAAAAATACATGACTCTTTGGTGGCTTTCTTTCTTTCTCTCTGATTAAATATAAATAACAAACTTAAATAAAAACATATCCTCAAAGGACAAATATGTAAGATTTATAGGTTATTAATTTTAGGGTTCTTTATAATAGTGAAAAATTAGAAATCAGGGCCAGCTAGAGTCCTGGTTAAATATACTGTGGTATATCCATACAAGATAACATAAAGACAACGGAAGTGTCATTATATGCCCATACTTACAGAAAGGCGTGCACAGTATGTTGTGGGGGGGAAGCAATTCACAAAGCTAAATGAATTTCAGCCTTAAAATGAGTATATTGACAACTGCCTTCTAAAATGGTGGACATGAAGTAACTTTTTCTTTTAATAACCTCCTAGGGGGAATGGCACACGCTGCAATCCCTTCTCCTCCTACGAGTTTGGGCATGCATGCACACATGGCCAATGATTTTCAAGCTGCAGCTGTGTTGGAGTCCAGCACCTTAACCAGCATACCACCTGCTGCTTTCAAGATTTGGGGCATGCATGTGTAGTACTCAGGGTGTTTTTTAAGTTGTCAGGTCTGGAACTTGAGTTGCACTGTCAGTTATGGGGATCCAGCTACCTTAACTACCCACACCACCAGCTGGTTCTATACTCAGCTTTTACTATTTTTATAAAAAAAATTCTAAAAAAAAAACACAAAAAGCTACCAAAAACATAAAGTACTAATATCTTTATTGTAGCCAAAGCAGTATTGTATACATCAACTCATTTTACAGTAAAAACATTTTATGTACAACTGTAGAGGAACTGCTGCAGATAGTCAACTTAAAAATGGGTTGTAATTTAAAAGCTCATTGAGGTGTCTGATATGCATATTAGAAAATATTTTTCTCTGTAGAAAACAGTAAAAATGTTATTATTTCCCAAGCTAGCCCAATAATTCTGTCTAAAACAAACAGTAGTTAAATTATACAATATAAATATTTGGATTGTGGGATCAAGGAGAAATATTAGCTTCATTTATTCAAACAGCCATGCCTTTCTTTTTTTAAATTAGCCAGAGGGTGCATGTGCTCACGGGAGAGAGATGGAGGAAGTGGGAAAATTCCTCCCGTGGTGGATGGTTACACAGCAATCCCTTCTCCTCCATTTCTTCTTCCTCTTGGGGTTTTTTGGTATACATGCACATGTACCTGGCATGTTTCTCAGGCCACTGGGTCCAGGACTCAAACTGTGCAGTCAGCACAAACTGTGGGATCCAGCTGCATTAACCACCACACTACCACTGGCCCACGCCATGTTTTGTTTTGTTTTTAAATGAAGCTTTATCAAGTAAAATTCCTATTATTTTAATTCTTACTCTTGATTTATGCCTGATTATTTTTCTTTAGGCTAATTCATAATTCAGTTCATTTTAGCTGTTCCATTTGAAAGGATAGAAATACATCCTTTTTAACTGCTTGATAAAGTACTTGTTTCTATCTAAATCATGAATGAAATGCTTCGGTGTTATTAAAGTATGCCCAGTATTTGGAAAATAACAGAATCTAATAAATTATAACTACAGGGCACATGTGTACTATCATCAAACACCTTCCCCTAATTCTCTGTGGCCTGATGGGAAGCCAGGAGGAGTACAGACAGGTAAAGTGATGAAAACTGACAAGTGGATCAAGGAATTAAAACCAAGGAAAGTCTGAGCATAGTGGGCAAGAAATATCTAGTCAGGTGCCAAAGACGGAACTAAAGTTCAGGTAGAAAAAAGATGTAGCCTCAAGGATCATGGGATGAACCACTATTGCAGCCCTTTACTACAAGGTGCTCAGTAAGAGGCAACTGGATACAAAGACTGGATAGAGAGAAACCAGGGCCTAAGAAGATATCAGTTGTTCAGAGTAACTAAATGAAACAAGACAGATCACTTATTTTAAAAATTTCCCAATCTGTTCTGAAATTCTTAGTACAGAATTTCTAGAAGGTAAGGCAAGAAGACAATGCCATTCCTTAGCTCCTGTGCTATGCAGAATATTTCCCAGAGATACATCTGAGAACTCAAGCAGAGACTTAGGTGGCCCAGGACTATAAGTTCCCTCGCAGCAACTTAAAACAGCTATACAGTTTGTCTTAAAACCTGTTCCTAAGTAGATAAAACCTGTAACAGAAAAGCAACTTAACAGAAATAGATCCTACACTATGGTTTTAGGAACTAGGCCACAGTGAAACTAAACGGGATCGATCTACCTAAACAATCCCATTTTGCCATCTAAAAGTTAACACCTAGAAACAGCAATAATCAAGTTTTCACCATTCAAAGAATGGTGAAATTATTGTACAATTTCACTTACTCTCTTTGCTTTCCACAATTATGAATGTTTCCTTCTAGTACGTGAAAAATACTCAAGAAATGTACTCATGCCCCCTCCTAGTTTAATTCCCTCTTCTTAGTAAATAATGTTAATCTTCCAATAGGAAGAAGTAGATTATATACCCTTTAAGAATCATTTATCTAGCCTCCTTACCTAAAAAGAAAGCTGTGGAGCCATCTTAGTACATTTGGAATTCCTTAAAGACACTGGCTTCCTATTAAAATGCACTTTTTTTTTTTTTTTTTGGAGAGGTTTTTCGCTATAGGGCGTGTGCACTCGCCAGCCAGAAAGAGAGAGACCATAGAGATAGAAAGCGAGAAGTCACCCCCCAGGGGGGATGGTCACGCCGCAATCCCTTCTCCTCCATTCTCCTCTCGGGATCTTGGGCATGCACGCACACGCGCCCGACATGAGTTTTAAGCCACCAGGTCCGGGACGTGAACCGTGGTCGACTACGTGGGAGTCCAGTGACATAGCCATTACGCTAACTGCTGGTTCCCTAAAATGCACTTCTGTATGTACTATTTGTAAAGAATTCACAGAAGCAAGAAGCACCTTATAATGGGAAGTTAAAAAATATTTCACAATGCACATAATCAAATCTGTATCAAATTACATCCTCCAATTCTAGAGCATACACTGATAGAAACTGTATTATAACTCAGCTAAGTCTGAAATCTTGTTTTAAAACATTGCTTGCTTGCTTGTATTGATCCCCAGATGACATGTTGTGGGACCATATGAATAAACGGCAGGTGGCTGAGGAATGCCAATTAGAGAAGACTTGACTTTCAAAGGCAAAAGTAGGTCCTCAAGACATTGTGGCATTCCGTTAGGTATTTACTTTGGAGAAATATACTATTAAGAGACATGTTTAAGAATAAAGACAAATCAAGTTACAAAGTACAAATGACCCTTGAGCAGGGGGGCTGGGATGCCAACTCTTCAAACAGTCAAAAATCCACATTTAACTTTTGACTCCAAAAACTCAACTACTAATAGCTTAATGTTCACAGGAAGACTTACCATTAACACAAACGGTCAATTAACACATATTTTATGTTATATACTATATTCTTACAATACAGCTAGAGAAGATATTAAGAAAACCATAAAGAAAATACATTTACAGTATTTATTTTTAAAAATCCACATAAGTGGGCCCAAGCAGTTCAAACCCTTGTTGTTCAAAGGTCAACTGTATAGGGCAGATAGATACATGCTTAATTTTATAATTTACAGATTAAGCATTAGAATAAAAATAAATTCATATACTTTTTCAAAGAAAAACCCAATGCAGAAATGGCAATAAAGTTACAAAAATGGTGAGATGAAATTATTTAGAAGTTTGTCTCTATGGAAGAGAGGGGGACTGGGCAAGTGGTCAAAAAGGAACATGATGAGCCTATTTTAACTTTGTATGAAAAATACTGTCCAGTTCCAAGTGGCCAAATATAGTTCTATTTTTGCCATATAAATCCTCTACTTCTAATTATTTACCAAATGCTTTATTAAAACTCCGTTTTTGGCCTTTGTTTTGGAATCTGTTATTTCTGTTGCCACCTCCTGATCGCTGTCCCCTGAAGTTTCTGTTTCCTTCACGCTGACCCCTGAAGTTTCTGTTTCCTTCACGTTGACCCCTGAAGCCTCGAGGTCCTTCCCGGGGTCCTTCCATCTCTGGTTGTTCTGTGGCCACAGAGAGTTGCCAGCGTCTTGAATCATGCCATTTCTCCTGTTAAGAGAAGGTTTTGTTTTTATTTTATTTTATTTATTTATTTATTTTACTAAATTTGGTCTAAAATGTCATAAGAAAAACACTTTTGCTATTCCTCCAAAGAAAAAATCAGGTTAATGATTAAAATGCTTAAAAGGTGGCTGATCAGGCCAACCTGGGGCTGTGGTGGTTTAGGCAAATGGATCCTACATGAAGAACTAGGGGTTCAAGTCCCAGACCTGGTGGTCTGACATATATACCAGGCACAAGTGTGTGCCCAAAATTCCAAGAGCAGGATAAACAGAGAAGAGATTGTGGTTAGACCATACCCTACAGGAGTAGGAGGGGCTTCTTTACCTTCCCTTCCAGTGAGCACATGGGCTCTGTGGCAAATTAAACAACAGCAGCAACAAAACAAAAAATATCCACCACACAGATACATAAAATCAGAATGAAAAAACTGGGAGGAAAAAAACAGGAAGATTTAATTCTTAACTGTCTTTCGGTGAGGGGGTTAAATCTATTGTTTCCCATTCTATTTCTTTTTTTTTGGAGAGGTTTTTGCTATAGGGTACATACATTCGCCAGAAAGACAGAGAGAGACAGATAGAAAGCGAGAAATCACCCCCCAGGGGGGATGGTCATGCGGCAATCCCTTCTCCTCCTTTCTCCTCTCGGGATCTTGGGCATGCATGCACACGCGCCCGGCGTGAGTTTTAAGCCACCAGGTCTGGGACGTGAACTGCGGTCGACTACATGGGAGTCCAGTGACATAGCCATTACGCTAACTGCTAGTCCCCCCATTCTATTTCATATCTTATAATGAACATTTTACAATTAAGGCTTAATTTTAAAGTCCAAGAGGAAAAAATACCTGTATTTCTGTTACTGCTGCAGTAGGGACATCAAAGCAAACACCCTGGAAACCAAAGCATCAAAACAAATGAATGTTAATCCAACCAGAGCCCATTAAATAATAACCCAGAGGATACAAGGTATTATGGGGGGAACCCACACCAGGTATTAAGTTCAGATAAACTTTAGACAAAAATCAACACATCACGGTTCCCAAAAGTACATCAGAGAAAGCCAAGGAATATTTTAAGAGATTTTTGCTATAGGGCACACGTGCTTGCCAGAGACAGACAGAAAGCAAGAAATCAGTCCCTGGGAGGGAATGGCAACACCACAACTCCTTCTCCTCCATTCTCCTTTCAGGATCTTGGAAACACATACACATGTGCTTGGCATTAGTTTTAAGCCAGGTTTGGGATTCGAACCGCAGTACACTACATGGGAGTCCAGTGAAATAACCATTAAGCCATCTGCTGGTCCTGCTGAGGAGTATTTTTAAAAAGGACTGCAAATAGGGACAAGCAAGTGGTGTGGTAATTAAAGGCACTGGGCTCTCACATAGCTGATCATGGTTTGAGTCTTGGACCCAGTGGCTTGAACTCATGCTGAACATGTGTGTGTACATGCCCAAAACCCCAAGAGAAGGGATGGTTGGGTGGCCACCCCACCTATGTATGGGATGTCTCTGGTGAGCATAGATATAACAACAACAAAAAAACTAAAAAACAAAAACAAAACAAAAAAAACCCTACAAATAATTTAGAACTTCCTGTCTACAGAAATATTCCTACTATGCCATACTAACTGACAAGTAGCTAACTACATTTTATAGCTGAGAAAACAGAGGCTTGAAATGCTAGCTGACTTATCTGAGGTTACACAGCTGGTAAATGCAGCAGGTATTTAAGATCTGGGCTGTACTGCTCTGAACTATGGCCTAAAACCATTACAACATACTGCTTTCCATCAGAAAGGCCCCACCAACTAATCAGGATGACCTAATTAAAATCAGGGAAGGAAATTATCTTCTATTTTTTCATAATTTAGTCTCCTGTGAAAGAACATGTAAAAAAAAAAAAAGGAAAGAAAGAAAGGAAAGGAAAAATAAGTCACTCAGAGGACACAAGGGTTCGGTAATAAGTGCCATCCTCTCCAGTTAAGGAAGCCTACTGCAGCACCAACCTGTAATGGACACAGGCACTCCTCTCCTCGCCGTCTTTCACTGTGAAATTTTACCAGGAACATACCTTCTACCCAATAACTCCCCCAACTATAATACGGGTATCACTGGGTGCTGGTGGATTTTGCCAATTATGGAATCTTCATCTCCTTATTAACCAAATATTTGAGTTTATATCAGACATTCATTGGGGCATACCCATTACTAGAAAACAGATTTTTGCCCTTAAGTAAGTCATGTTGTTCTTGAGGCTCATAGTTAGTAAACAATCATATCAAAGTAAAATTTACCTGAATGAATGTATGTCTTAAGAACTCTGCTGTAAAGAGTTAAGATAGACATAATTGGCTGCTAAGGCCAGGGATAACTTCATAGGGAAATTTAAGGCTAACCAAAGTCATAAAGGACACTGGAGAGAAAAAAAAATAATACATGCAGTAGGTTCAGCATACACTTAGTAAGAAGGTAAGTATAGGGTACTTGGTATTGCCAGAGTACGAGTTTTTGGAGGTGGTAAGGCAGACATGAAGCTGGTGAAGGGGTAGGGAGCTAGCCAGGAAGAATCTTATCCTCTGTATGAATGGGTTGGGACTTTACTCCGTAAGTTATCTGGGGCTGCTTAAGGAAGTTCAACAACACAGTGAGACGTGCGATGAGATGAGATGAAATGAAGATAACCTGACTGGGTTCACTAGTCTTAATTTGTCCAAGTGTAGTAAATGAACTCCCAGAATCCTGAGCTCTTTCAGGATTTCTTGCATTCAAAACTATTTTCATAACATTTAGACATTATCTGGCATTTTTATTCTCATTTTCCCACAAGGGTATAGTGGAATTTCCCAAACACTATGTGACTTGTGGTAATGTTGCTCTGATGGCTGATGGAGCATGTTACTATTTTAGAGTTCCTGTTTTAATTTCTAATACAGAAAATTATCAGTAAATAAAAGTCATACAAACGAAAGCTTTTCAGTGTCCCCAACATTTGTTAAGAATATAAAGGGTCATGAGATCAAAATGTTTGGGAACAACTGTGCTAATCTATGCTATTAACTGAAAGCCTGATTCAGGCAGACAAATGCAAGGTTTGGGAAGTAAAATTTTAAATCTGAAACTTAAATTCAAGATTCTGAGTAAGTTATTTAATAGATAGTTGGGTAGAGATCTCAAAGAAGCAGGTGGATCTTCAGTTCTGGTGTTGTATACAGAATGGTTCAGGCGATACATAGATGCAGTGTCAGTCTACTGGTGGCCACTAAGAGCCACCATGAGTGAGACTGCCCAGGAAAGACCATGGAGTGAAAAGATGCAGCATCCCAGAGAACAGGGAGAAGCCATTATACTGTTGTCTCGCTCATGTAAAGCTACTTAAAGTGAGGTAATAGCAGAGGCCCAAGACTTACCAGCTTTCCTTTGAGAAAGACCATTCCCTTCACTTTGGAATCAACATCCTCACCCAGCTGCTCCTTAAGTTCTTTCCAAGCATAACTAATGTTTGGCATTTCGATTGAACACCGCAAGATCATAGTCACAAAACCCTTATGCGAAAAGGAGAACAAAAATTATAAAGTCTTGAAAACTAACCTAAAATATAAACATCTGCAATATTTCTGAAAAAGCTCTTCCTAAAAGCGTATACCACACACACACACACACACACACACACACACACAGTTAGTTCAAGTAAAATCAGAAAACTCCGAGTAAGGTTGGTGGACTCTATTAATGTCATTAACTTGGTATTACTTTCCCAAAGTATCACCACCAGGGAATCTAAGCAGAGTATACCATGAACTCTTTATTATTTCTTACAACTATGTGAATCTATAATTCTCTCACTAAAAATTCCATTATAAGGAAAGGAAAATGAAAGTATACACCTTCTAAAGTTTTGAGGTGTGCCAGTTAAATACATTATGTACATTAATGTGCATATATCAGGATATTGGACGTATTTTTCATGCAAAACTGCATGATGGTGCCAGCAGATAATGTAGCAGTTACGTTGCTGGACTCTCACATGGCCAACCCCGGTTCAAATCCCAGACCTCACGGCTTGAAACAAAGATGAGAGACATGTGCATGCATGCCTAAGATCCTGGGAGGAGAAGCAATTACAGTGTAACCATCCCCCTGGGAAGGATGATTTCTCAATTTCCTTCTCACTGTCTGTCTTTCGGTCAAGCACATGTGCCCTAAGGCAATACTCTCTTAAAAAAAAAAAAATGCTGGGACCAGCAGGTGGTATGGTGGTTAAGGTGCTGGACACTCCTACATGGCCAACCGTGGTTCGAGTTCTGGACCTGGTGGCTTGCTTTCTCACTTTCTCCCTCTCTCTCTCTGTGTCTCTCTCTGGTCAAAGTAAAATAAAATAATTATAAATAATAAAAACTTAAAAAAAATTTTAAAATACATTATGACTTTACAACTACCCAATGTATAGTCCCCTCCCCCCACCCCAGAGGGCACATGTGCTTGTCAGAAGGGTACAGAGAGGAAAAAAAAAGATAAAAAAGTACCCCCACAATGGGCACAGTCACTTTGCATTTCTCCATCATTTCAGGATTTTGGACATACATGCGGACACACCTGTGTATTACAAGCTGCCAGGTCTAATGCATGTGGTTAGCCATGTGGGATCTAGCCACCTTAAACACTAGGCCATAGGCTGGCCTCAGTTTTTTTTTTTTTTTTTTAAAGAAAAATATAAATAATTCACGCACCATAAAATCCACTATTTTAACATGTGTAATTCACATTTTTTTTTTAGCCTATCCATAAAGTTCGTAGTTATCAACACTGTATCTAGAACATCTCATCACTCTAAAATGAAACCCTGTACTCATTAGTAGCCACTGCTGCCCCTTCCCTCCTCCAGCTTCTGGCAACCACTTATGTTTTCTGCCTCTATGAATTCTGTTTATACACATGCTCACACACAACTTCAACATTAGACATATGACCAGGAACCTTACCACATTTGAGTTGATCAACGAGCGCTGGTCTACTGACGTGGCACCTGAAATATGGGCCAGTGCTGCTGCCAGAGCTTCTACGGCCCCCTTCTCCTCAATCAGCTTCTCGGCTGACTGCTTGAAGTGACTAATGGCAGTGGGAGGCACAGAATCCAGAAGCCTATGTCAGATGGAGAGAACTGTTTGTTAGGAATAAAGACAGCAGACGTGAACAAATCTTTCTTCTAAGACAATAGTGCTTCAAGATACATCAGAAGCTTTCAAAGCCAAATCTGCCACATATGTTAACACATCTTTGGGATAAAATGTCAATGATCACATTTCTGTAGTATTAAATCCATTACTTTGTAGCTAATTCTTAATTAGCACCAATGCCCAAACATAAAGTTTACCCCAAGGAAACAGTGTATACTACAGGATTTCTAAGACAGAAATTATAATTTAAAATATGTATCAATATAGACTACTTCCATAAACCACAAAGCATGCAATGAAAGGCTATACTGCCATTAAAAGTAATGATAAGGGGCGAGCAGATGGCATGGTGGTTAATGACACTGGACACCCATATGGCCTACTGAGGTTCGAATTTCAGACTGGCCAGCTTGCTTTCTCACTTTTTCTCTCTCTCTCTTGCCCTGTAACACTCTGGTCAAAATGAAAATAAGTAAATAAATTTTAAAAAAGTTAAATAGAATAATTTTTAAAAATAAAAGTAATAATAAATAATACTGAGTATCTTTCAGAAAAACTGTATTACTTCTTTTTGAAATAGAGATTTTATTTTTGTTATAGGGTGAGTGCACTCGCCAGAGAGACAAAAAGCAATAAATCATCCCCCGCTGCTGCCAAGGGGTATGGCCATACCACAAACCCTTCTCTTCCATTTACCTATAGGGATTTTAGGCACAAATGCCTAGTGTGGGTTTGAAGCCACTGGGTCCGGGATCACCATGGCCTAGTATAGTTCAGGGAGCAGAAGCCCACATGGCTGACCATGCAGTATAAGTCCCAGACCAAGTGGCTAAGAAAGCATCCAGGCATGGGAAGCTATGCCCTAAAGTCCATCTTCTAGATTCCCGAAATATGCACACAAGTGGAGGAGAGATTTTGTCACAGAATGACCAGAAACCACCACAGAGGCCTAAGAAACATGAGAAACCAAGAAAATATCTCTCTCCTAAGGGTAAAGAACAATCCCTCCTCATCCAGACAGTACAGTAGAACTCGTGGAAATGTCTGATAGAGAATTCGGAATATTCATAATGACAAAACTAGATGAGATGCAAGAATTGAGAGATAATGAACTCCAGAAGATGCAGGAGAAAAGAGACAAAGAGTTCCAGGAGGTGTTGAAGTTCTTCCATGATCTGAAAGAGGAAATACACACCATAAAAAAAGAATCAAATGGAGCTATTAGAGATGAAGGTTGCCATTCAGGAAAGCAAAACCTCACTTGAAAGTATTAAAAGCAGATTAGTCCATGCAGAAGTTCAAATCTCAGATGTTGAAGGCAAAATCTCTGATCCAGAAAGAAGACCAAAAAAAAAAAATAATAATAACTGAAAAAATAACCCCCCCAAAAGAGAACACTGTACAAGAAATACTAGAGAGCATTAAGGGCCCAAACATCCAGATAACTGGTATCCCAGAAGGTGAGGAAACTAGTTAAGAGCATTGATAATCTACGCCATGAAATCTTGGAAGAAAACTTTCCAGATCTAGAGAGGCATTCAAATATCCAGATCTAAGAAATACAAAGAACCCCTAACAGAATCAACCCAAGAAGATCTTCCCCAAGGTACATCATAGCAAGACTGGCCAAATCTACAGACAAAGACAAGATAACTAAAATTGGCAAGAGAGAAATGTTGGGTTACTTACAAAGGCTATCCAATCAGGCTAACCTGAGACCACTCATCAGAAACAATGTGAGCAAGGAAAGAATGAGAAAATATATTTAAAGTGATAAGTGAAAAACAGTTTCAACCAAGAATACTATACCCAGCAAAATGATCTTTAAATATGGAAAGAAAGGATAAAAACATTCTCAGATAGGGGCCAGCAGGTGCCACGGTGGTTTATCAACATAACAGCAATCCTTGCCAGCTAAACATTTAATATAACTTAAAAAATAATTGACTCTTGGGCTAGCCAGGTGGCATGGTGGCTAAGGTGGCTGGATCCCATATGGCAAACAGCACAGTTTGAATCCTACATCTAGTATCTTGAAAAACATTCCAGCTAAGTGTGTGTAGGTGCCCAAATCTCAAGAGGAGAGTGGAGACAAAGCAGTGTGTTCAACTACCCCACACTCTACCAAGCACATGTGTCCTAAAGCAAAACTTAAAAAAAAAAAAAAAAAAAAAAACTGACTATCAATTCTACCAGGTAGAAAACTGGATTAACAAAGATTTAGAATGTAACCTGTGATCCTAAAAAAAAAAAAATCACACCATATCTAAGATCATTTTCCTATGATGTCCAAGACAAACCAAACTGTTTTAGTGGTCTACCCAGGAGAACAGAATTAGGCAGAAATGAGGATATTTACTTTGAAAAATTACGTTCAGCACAGTTTGAATGTTTTTATAACAAGCAATAAAGAAAATAAAACTGTAAAGGTCATATTTCATAATGGCACAAAAATTTGCAGTATTTATCAGCAGAAAGCACTGAAACGGACCCCAGCAGTGGGCGGGAACATACCTAATTGCATCTTTGCTGGAAGCTTTTATTATTTCTGTTGCAGAAGGAACACCTATTCGCTTAAATTTAATTCCCTACAAGAAAATGAATCACAGTTTAATGTACAAGGTGACTATCAATTATTCCCATCAAGATCAGCAGACCTTTAATTTTTAAATATTTATGAAATGCATTTATCACATTAGAAAGGATTTTTTAGTCACAGAAAAGTTATAAAGACAGTAGAGTTCCTGTAGTAGTATGCACATCTACTGACAGGAAAAATTATTTACTATTAACTCTGACTTTACTCTGTATTTGTGTTCTCTTATTTTTTCAGGACATTGACAGTTAAGAAGTGCTGGCTGGACACTGTACAGTATCTCTGAATTTGAGGCTGTATGATATTTTTCTCACACTTGTACTGGGGTTACAAGTTTGGGGGAAGAAAACCAGAGGTGAGTAATATCTCACCACATCTTATCAGGGGCATGTGCTTCTCACTGATGATATGAACCATGATCACCTGGGCTGGGTGGTCTGCTGGTTTCTCCACTGTAAAGTCCTCAACCCCTTAACCCCTCTCCCCACCATCACTATGCTCTCTTCTTTGTAAACTTACTAAGTACAATCTGCTGAAGTAGATATTATCTATTTAAGTATAAATTCACCTATAAGGAAAACCAGTGTCTCCCCGCCTTTTATTAAAAAAAGTTTATTTTCTTCACCCTTTGCAGGCTCTTCACAATTCTCCCCTAAGCCCTGCAGCCAGTCAAGATCAACAGCATGCCTGATGCATTCAGGTAGACCTGGAACACGAATCCAGAGCCTTCCTACAGGCCCCCCAGCACTAGGCACTAGTAGCCTTACTGTCTGTGCCACCACAGCTGGGCTTTCTTCATCCTTTTGGTTTCTGAGCAATTTCTCTAACACTTGAATCTTTGCTTAGATATTTCTGATGTATTCCTGTTATCACTGTCTGAAAATTGCCTTTTAAACATAAAAACAAAACCACCATTTTTAAATGCAGTTATTTAAAAACAGCCCTTACATCATAAGACAGTATTTAAAGCAATATGTATCTAACACGTTTCAATCATGACTACATGCTGGAAATAAAAATATTAATTTAAAGATAATGAAAATTGAAAAAAGAAACTAAAGACTGACTTTAGAACAACTATTGAATGAAAGTTAAGAAAACATTAACAGTTTTACCGCTTTTTGCTCCACTAGTGCTAACTGATATTCTTCCTTGTGTTGATAAAAGCAGATGCAAACCCCTGTCCTTCCAGCTCTACCGGTTCTTCCAGAGCGATGAATGTAGGACTCTACATCCTATTGAAATAAGAAACACAGGAGTGACACTGACGACAACAGAGACATGAGCAGCCTATGCACAGTAAGTGTTTATGTACCTAGGAGAATAAAGGAAGGTCTCTTAGCACTTCGACCTAAATTAGTGACAATGTTAAAAACCTCTAAAATTTCCTTGGGACCAACAGCGTAATGGCTATGTTGCTGAACTCCCATGTAGTCAACCATGGTTCGAGTCCCAGAACCAGTGGCTTAAACTCATGCTGGGCGCATGTGCATCCGTGCCCAAGATCCCGAGAAGAGAATGGAGGAGAAGGGATTGCGGCATGAACATCCCCCCCGGGAGGTGATTTCTTGCTTTCTGTCTCTCTCTCTGGCAAGCGCACGTACCCTATAGCAAAAACTTCTCCAAAAAAACCAAAAAACAAAAAACAAAAACACCTCTAGAATTTCCCTTATTCTGCAGGCTAATTTGTAACAGATTAGAACATTAATTTTTAATAATTATTTATTTTATTTTATTTATTTATTATTATTATTATTTTTAGTTTGACCAGAGACAGAGGGTGAGACTGACAGAGAGAGGAAGTGAGAAAGCAAGCCACCAGATTCAGGACTTGAACCCTGGTCGGCCATATGGGAGTGTCCAGCGCCTTAACCACCACGCCACCTGCTGGTCCCATAACAGATTAGAACATTAATTTAAACATTGTTTAAACAGTAGCTTATCCAATAAAAGCAAATATGTAATTTCAATTTTTACTTTTAACTTTCTAGTAGCCACACTAAGAATTTAAATATAGGGGTGAACTAATTTTAGTTATCTATAATTTATTATTTCAAAATGTTTTCTGTATAAAACAAGTTATCAAAAAGATTATTTTATATCCTCAAAATCCAAAATATATAATTTAAAATTTTACATTTAAATCCAGTGTGTATTTTGCACTTAAAAGTACATGTCGATTCAGATGAACTATGTTTCAAGTAATCAACATGCAGCTAATGGCCCATCCTAAATAAGCCTACAGACTCACTCCTAAAATAATGTCTAGTCTCGCACTTACAGGACTTCCTTTTTAACAACTGGTGAATTCATGGTCATCAGGAATTCTTTCATTCACTATATGCAACCCTTTTTCTTTCCTTTTTCTCCTAATTTGCCAGAGGGTACATGTACTCTCCAGAGAGAGAGAGAGAGATAGAAAGAGAAAGTGAGAAGGCACTTCCCCAAACCACACCACCACCTCAAAGGGGATGGTCATACTACAGTTTCTTCTCCATTTCTCCCTCTTTTTGGGATTCTGGGCGCACACACACATGCACATTCCTATGGTTTTTAATTTTTAATTCATTCGTTTATTTTAATTTTTGGTGAGAGAGAGACAGAGATTGAGAGACAAAGTAAGAAAGCCACCAGGTGTAGAACTTGAACCAGTTGGCCACATGGTAGTGTCCAGCACCTTAACCACCACGCCACGTGCAGGCCCCACCTAAGGTGTTTTACAAGCTGCTTGGTTCTGGATTTGAACTACATGGTAGGCTGTGTGGAACCCAGCTGTAAGGAATGGCAAGATCTGAGCAACACAAAAGTGACCTTTAAACACAAGCAGAAACACGGTTCTTGTGTTGACACTGCAGGGCTACCAAAAGCTTTTAACGAGAATATCCTCCGTGTGTCAACACAGCAGGGCAGTGTTGTATAAAATAAAACCCTGTTAGCCACAGAAGGCCCAGAAAGATAAGAGAAAGTCACAAGACTCCAGAGGGTCCACATCTTCAGTCCATAACATCAGAAAACTGGTTTTGCATTCTGCTTCTCCCTCCTTCCCCTTTTATGGAGAGGTTTTTGCTACAGGGCGCGTGCGCTAGCCAGAAAGAAAGAGAGAAAGACAGAAAGCAAGAAATCACTCCCCGGGGGGGATAGCCAAACTGCAATCCCTTCTCCTCCATTCTCCTCTCGGGATCTTGGGCGGGCACGCATGCACACATGCCCGGAGTGAGTTTAAGCCACAGGGTCGGAGACTCAAACCGCCGTCACCTACACGGAGTCCAGCAATATAGCCATTATGCCAACTACTGGTCCCTCCCTCCCTCCCCTTTTTTGCCCTATAGAATAAACCTGGGAACAGCTCTAGGCCACCTGATCCCTGCTTTTATCTACTTGTGTGCCTGTTTCCAATCCATAGCCACTTCCACTGAGGAGCACATACAGCTGTGCAGGCCACGGCACCCGGCCCCGCTAATAACCATGCCACTGTTCGCCCATAAGCAAACTTTTGGAAGGCCAGGAGGTGGTACAGTGGTTAAGGGTACTAGATTCCCACATAGCTGACCATGGTTTGAATCTTGGACCTGGCGGTTTGCTTTCTCACTTTCCCTTTCTCTCTCACTCTGTCCCTCTTTGGTCATATTAAAACGAATGAATAAATTTAAAAGCAAAAAAATGTGTATTTGCTGGATCCGGCAGGTCACATGGTGATTAAGGGGCTGGACTCCTACATGCTGACCATGGTTCAAGTCCTGGACCTGACAGCTTGCTTTCTCACTTTTCCTCTCTCCCTCTCTGTGTTTATCTGGTCAAGTTAAAAACAACAATAAATAAAACTAAATAAAAATATTAAAAAAAATATAAGAATGCATGGGACCAGTAGGTAGTGTGGTGGTTAAGGCGCTAGACACTCCCACATGGCCAACCAGGGTTCGAGTCCTGAATCAGGCGGCTTGCTTTCTCACTTCCTCTCTCCCTCACTCACTCTCTGGTCAAATTAAAAAATAAAGGAATGAATAAATTATTAAAAAAATATATGAATGCATTCACCAGCTTGTAGGGAGGTTATGTAGTCTTCATACTGAAAGTGATTGGAACAGGCTTCTTTACACCAACCTTTATTTAGATGAAGTGCTTTCCACACCACATAAAGTATGCTTCACAGCCCCTTACCCATAACTCAGGACCAGCAGATGGTAAAATGGTTACGTCGCTGGACTCTCACATAGTCAACCATGGTTTGATTCCTGGACCCGGTGGCTTTAAAAAACATAAAACTCACACCAGGAATGTGTGCCCAAAATCCTAAGAGGAGGCTGGAGGAGAAGAGACTGTGGCAATGGCCAGCCCCTGAGAGATGATTTCTCAGTTTCTGTCTTTCCTTCTCAACAGCAAGTACATGTGCCCTATAGCAAAAATCTCTTAAAAAAAAAAAAAAAAGGACCCATAATTTAAAACCTAAGCAGCTCCAACTACAGAGGCTGTTAATTACAGGCTCCTTCCCTCCCCTGTGCTCTAACCTGTGCATTTATCCATACAACTCCTGACTCCATGTAAGTCCTTCTTCCCATCTCCGTGATCCTATTGAAAATTGTGCTAACTCCATAAAGTCTTCCAGGACTATTCTCTAACCATAAGCCATCCTTTCTAATTCTGGCACTTCCATTCAACAGTTAGCTCTCAGGGGAGGGCCTTATAACAGGTTTTAAAAATCACTTTTAGTATCCTAGCACTCAAGAGATAGCAATTAGTAATCACATGCAAAGAAATAACAATTTCCAATCTGTTTTAATACCCCTCCAAAAATAAAAATAAAATAAAAGCACATACCTTTGGTGGAGAGCATTGTACAACCAAATCAACCTCAGGGATGTCTAGTCCACGTGCAGCAACATTAGTTGCCACCAAAACTCCAAAATTACCATTTCTAAAACCTTTCAGCGTGATTTCTCTCTGTTTCTGTGGAATGTCTCCATGTAGTGACTGGGCATCCTGCCAAAGAATAACAGTGGCCTAAGAATACTAGATCTAATAATACAGGTACATTTTTCATCATCCATTAGGCCTGTAAAAGAAATCTGTTTTGGCAATCATGCTAAAAATATTATGAAGGGGAAATGTGGCTTAATTAAACAACTTCAAATTTATTTTTAAATCCCCAGTCACTGTATCAACTGTATCCAACTATACATAATATACGTAGTAAGATTGAGGCTTCAAATAAGAATGATCAAATGTACTAAATTTGCAGTTCACACAACCCTTTCCTTAAGACTGATGTATTTAAGTCACCTTTAGGTTTAATCGACCCTTCCCTTATCTGTATGATGAGACTAACAGAACATGTGTGCTCTAACATGTATTAACTTTGACCATTTATTCAAAGAGGTTTCCTTGCATTTCTAACTGAATTTAAAGTGGAAGTTATTGGATGAGTGAAAAACAGTCCTAGAGCAGATATGCCCAAGGTGAAGATTTGTTGATATTCCCAGTTCCGCAGGCACAAGAACAAACCTGCTTTATAGAAGTGTTCTGCGAGAGCTCCTGGGCCTCTTTCTTGGTTTCACAGAAGATGATGGTACGCCCTTGATGGCCACTGTACACTCGGATCACATCCCCAATAACCGCTGCCCTCTGAGTCCAATGGCACTTGATAGCCAGATGCTTATGAAAGAGGAAGAAAAACACATCTCTAAGGACGTTTTCCTGGTACCTGAAATCAACTTTTCAACACAAGCAGGATAATAATGTCTAGATAGTGGATGAAAGTGCTCAAGCCCGATAGAGCTACAAGCTGATACCATTGCCTTCAGAAAATGGACATAAATAAAACCCTAAATAACCATTAAAGCAAAAGAGCAAAATGCCTCTGCCCTTTCTCCAAAGAGTATCTGCATTCTTTATTTTCTGATCTAACCAGGAAAATGTAGG